GAGTGTCCAGTAACGAGTTTTGTGATGGATCTATGTGTTAGGTGTGACTTTGGAGAGCCTGTATGTTGACACTCAGGTCTATGTTTCTGCGTTGCTAAAGAATTTGCGTGGTATGTCTTGTACTGGAGCTTATTGGCTCTTGGGTGGTGGTTGGTTTTGGTGTAGGTATGGAAGCTTTTGGATGGTCTCTTATTCCTTAATGTTCCGTGTAGTAAGGAGTTTTCTGGTTTCCTCAAGATTTGGGCTTAAGTCTCCTGCCTCTGGATTTCAGTTTTATTCTTCCAATAGTCTCAAGACTTCTCCAACTATACAGCACTGATAATAAAACTTCTAGGTTAATGGTGAAAAGATTCTCCACTGTGAGAGACAACCAGAGAGGTTCACAGAGTTACATGAAGAATAGGAGAGGGAGGAAGGAGATAGAGGTGATCAGGAGGAGAAAAAGGGGACTCAAGAGGAGAGAGAGAGATCTACGCAGTTATCTGTTCCCAAAGTGTTCTCCGTAGCCCAGACACCCACAAAGATTCACAGAGTTGGATTGGGAAGAGAAGGGGAAAGGAGGAAATAGAGGTGTTCTGAGGTAGGAAACAGAGAGTCAAAAGTGGGAGAGTAATCACCACACTCCTGAATAGAAATGGGAACTGAATATTGGATTCTTAAATGACCAAAATTTATATCACATACTACTGAAAAACAAAGATTAAAAATCTAGTGTAGAGGTTAGACTCTTTGAAATACAGTATTTAAAAACAAAAACACACAAAAAAATTTAGAAATGTATATGAAGTTTGATTTAAAAATAGGGTTTTTTTTTTCTCTCTCTCTCTCTTTTTTTTTTTGGCAAGGTTATAGTGAAATGAAAATGAAAATTAAGGAATAATAGAGGAGTATTAGAGGACTTTAAAAGGAAATAGGAGAGAAAAACAAGAAAAAGAAAAAAAAGAAAAAAAATTTCTTTTCCCTAATTAAAAAAATCGTAAAAATATATGGAAATGAAAGTTGAGGAGTAATGGGGGAGTAATAGGGAATTTTAAAAGAAAATAAAAGAGAAAAAATTAAAAAAAAGGATAGAAAAAAAAATTTTTTTTTTAATTAAAAAAAATATATCTATATATCTAGGAATTTCTCTGGAGTTGTTGCAGTCAGCGTAGGTTCAGTTCAATTTCAGATAGCTCCTCTTTCCAGCTTACACTTCTCGATATCTGTAGGCCCCTTCTGGTGTAGTCGGTGTTACCTTCAGGGATTTTAATCTGTTGCACCGGTCCTTTCTGAAGCGGTTCCCTTTGTTTATTTGGCTTCTGTTTGCCGTCTCTTTGGTGTCTAATTTCCGCCCTGACACAGGCGGGTGGAGGTGATCTCTTATTTAGGTTCTCTAGTTCAGTTCAGTCCTGCTACGGAGAGGGCGGGGCGCTGCAGACAGACACCGCTCTGTGTGGATAGCACTCACCGTGTTCCGGCCACACTGGGTTTGTCCCGTCACACTGGGTTTGTTCCGGTCACACTGGGTTTGCCCCGCTCACGGGTGTCAGTGCTTTCGCCGTCTACACTGCTCAGGCTCCCGGCTGCTCTATATGGAGCGGGCCCTGCGTTGAGTGCGGTTCCAGTTTTCGGGTACTCCACAAAAGCGCAGATTCGGTTGCGTCTCCGTTTTGTGCCTTCCCCGGCCTGAGCGGTTCAGGCAGCCAGAGGCTTGGGCGCACTCTCTCCGGATGTGGCGCGCCTTTTCCCTCCGCGGCGGGCAGCTCAGGCAGCCAGAGGCTTGGGCGCAATCTCCCCGGGTACGGCGCGCTTTTTCCCTTCGCGGCCCCAGCGCGCACCGCCAGTCGGGTCTCAGGAAGTCTTTAGATAGGAACCGGGGGGCCTCCCTTCGAAGACAGTGGGCTGCTTTTCTGGGCGCCTGATGTCCTCTGCTAGCGATCAGAAGTTGTTTTGTGAAATTTGCTCAGCATTCAAATGTTCTTTCGATGAATTTGTAGGAGAGAAAGTGGTCTCCCCGTCCTATTCCTCCGCCATCTTGGCTCCTCCCTCCTAAAATTAACATTTCTTGATGCATAAGCTGAGACCTAATTATTGGGCCTTTGTTTATTCAGTGCTGTGTTAGGTATCCACTGGATATACAAGACATTTTGCAATATATAATTCTTGTAATCCCCACAGTGAAATGTCAATCCTAGAAAATTTTTAAGGAAACTCAATCATGTGATGGCATTATTTTGTTGGAATTCGGACTCTATAACTAGCTGTGTGAATTACCTCTCTGTGCCTCAGTTTCTTCATCTGTAAATTGGAGGAAATACCTTATAGGATTGTTGTAAGGAATACATGAGCTAATATATGTAAAGCAAATAGAATACTGCCTGAAACATGGTAAATGCTAACAGTTGAATACTTGGGCCTAATCGATCAGCCATTTTCTTCTCTTAAAGTGAATGAGTTTCTTTGTTGGAGGTTTATAGTGTATCTTTAGTCTCCATCCTCAGGACAGTTGAGTCTAGGTGTAAGAGTTGAGTGAGCTGAAAGACATGGTTTGAAGATTATCATGTTCCATTTTGAGATTGGACACTAGACTTTTCATATCTTGCCAGCTCTCCTTTGGTTATGCTTTGTCAGAAAAAAAAATGTATCTTGAAATTCTTAGAAACCTGATTTCTTCACCAAAGAACATTGAAATGTTCTTTTTGTTGGGGGTAGAAGAAGGGGGCTGCTGCTGATGTGAAAGTATGATAAAGGAAAGGCAATTTGAATAGAGATACTTTGATTTTAGCTTAACAAATCAAATTGGCCAAGGATTTTCTAATCAAAAGCTTCCTCTCAAGGGGAAAACTCATTTCTGATTTGTATTTCCTTCTCAAGAAATGAGATTAATATGTTTTATTTCCATTATTAATGAGATTTAACATCTTTTTGTTATGTTTTTTGATTGAAAAAGACCCTGATGTTGGGAGAGACTGAGGGCATGAGGAAAAGGAGATGGTTGGATGGCATCATCTACTCATGGATGAGTTTGAGCAAGCTCTGGGATAGTGAAGGACAGGGAACCCTGGTGTGCTGCAGTTCATGGAGTCACAAAGCATTGGACATGATTTAGCAACTGAACAACAACCTTGATTACTATATTACATTTGTGAATTTCCTACTCATGTCCTTGATCTCTTTTGTTTGTTTCATGAGGAGACTGGTCTTTATAGAATAAGGACAGTAAGCCCTTGCAAATACATTTCAGGTATACTTTTCGTCTTGTCAGTTATCTTCTTTTTCCCTTGGTTGTGCTTTTTAACTGCATAGAAATTTTTAATGTAATGAATCTTAAAATTTCCCTGAAAAGTATCATCTCATTATGGTTAGAGAATTTCTGCTGAGTGTTATAAAACATGTCATAGTTTATATGTAGACTGATGCATATGATAGGCATTTTTCCTTATAAATAGGGGATTGACTGTCATAGGAAGAGTCTTTTCAAACTAACAGTCCTGAGGCTGTAACACAATAATAATAGCTACCACTTACCGCACACTGCCTGTGTGCCAGGGAATATGCTAGGTCTTTTATGTACTATATCCTAATATTCAACTTCAAGCAAAATATTACTACTGTCCACATTTCATAGGTAAGTGAAATGATTTGCCCAGGGTCACTGAGCTAGTTAGTGGCTGGATTGGAATTTTAACTCAAGTCTGCGTAGCTCCAAAGTACATACTTTTTCTGGAGAGTTGGTCTTTTTGAGGCTTCAAATAAATTAAATTGGTCATAAAAGTTGAGTAAATATCTTTCACCAGAACTTGAAAAGATAATCTGCAGCCTAGTTGGACAGCTCTCGGTTTGAGAGCAGAGTAGGAAAGGTAATGAGAAATACATAAACCAGCTGGAAGAAAGGTCTCCACTGTCTAGGACAGTGGTTCTTAAAGTGTGATTTCCAGACCAGCAGCAGCACATCACTTGGGCCTTTATTAGAAAAGCAAATTCTCCTGTCACACTCCAAACCTACAGAATCAGAAGCTAGGGGTGGGGCCCAGCAACCTGCTTTATATTTGCAGCTGATTTTGATGCGTGTTAAAGTTTGAGAGCCACTGGTCTAGGGGAATTATTTTATTCTCTCTAACCATAAATTTTGCTTTTGTGAGCTTCAGCCTTAAGTCTGAGCCCTTAAGTGCAGAATAAGTATTATCAAGTGACAAAAGCATAGAACCTAACAGAAGCCAATTTTGAGTCCAGTTTAATAATCATTTAAGGCAGGTTCATCTCCCTGAGCCACAGTTTCCCATCGCTAAAATGATGTTAATAAAATCTTATCTCCATTCAAGGTATTTTTTCAGAATTAGTAAGATAATATATAAAGTGCCTAGGACCTTGCCTGGATCCTAGGTGTTTGAGAAATTGCCTCCAGTGATTTTTCTTGTTAAGGAGAAAGCCCCCACCCGCCTTCTGTTCTCAACTTCTCTTGTTTCTTGAATGTGTTTCACTGTCTTGTGTCTCTGGGCCTTTATATTAGCTATTTCTATTGGCCACTCCTACCTCCCACCCCTTTACCTCATTAACTTCTATATATCCTTTAGATCCCTGCTTATAATTTACTTCCCCTGGACAGGACTTTTTCAAACCCCCATTCTACAGTCTTTGTGCTCATATAGCATCACATATTCCTCCTGACACTACACTTACCACAGCTTTGGAATTGCTTGTCTCCTGTATAAACATCATTGGACAGGTCCAGTGTCTCCTCTGTACCATATTCTAGGGCCCAGTAAAGATTCTCACACATTATAGGAGCTAATAAATGTTGAATGAATGAATGGTGGCTGTCATTATTGCTGCTTCATCATCTTCATATGATCCAAGGGCAAGGTTTCCTCCCTGGCTTGTGGTTTTTGTGCTTGTGATAATCATAAATAGTTTTAGAACCAGTGCCTATTTTCTCTTTTCCTGAAAGCACGTATTTTGACCTAGTCTGACATGGTAGTTCACTGAGCTGCTTCCTAACCACTGATCTCTCTGTGTCACAGGTACCTTGGGGGAGCTGTGTGCCTTGATGGATCAAGTTCATCACATGCACAACCAGAAATGGCAGCATCCTTCAGACCTCACCAGGCGGTGAGTGGGTATTTAGAAGAAGCGAGAAAAGGGTAGAATTTCGCTGTAGGAGAAATGTGGTAGGGCTTTGGGGCTGTAATTGTTGTTTAACTGCAGAGGTAGAAAAGAAGTGATATAGTATAATGGAATAAGAATTGGACTACAATTCAGGAAACTTGGGTTTTGATACTAGCTTTGCACTTTTTAACTAGCTACATGATTGTGGTCAAATTACTTCATTTCTCTGGTCCTTTCAACAGTAAAGTAAGATACTGGACTAATTGAGCTCAAAGGGCCTTTCTAGTCTTAAAATCTTTTGGCTTCTTGATGCATTGTTGTTTTATAGTTCTATTCAGTTACTTGATCCAATTACTCAGAAACCTTGGAGTCACCTGTAAGTCCTTACTCCATAGTCAGTGCATCAGCAGATCCTATAAGCTCTTATGTATAATATTATCCAGAACTTGACCATTTTTCAATCATTTTCACTTGGATTGTTGCAGGTCTCGTAAATGGTCTTCCTACTTCTGCCCTTGCCTGTGTAGTGTAACTTGAGCAGCCAAAGAGATTGTCAGCCATAAACATAAGTCAGAATCTCTTTGCTCAGAATTTTCCAGTGGCTTCCCATCTCCATGATCCCCTGCAAGTGCCTATATGCATGGTCTAACCTGGCTTGGTTAGCTCGTCAACGTCCTTTCCTCTATTGTTCACCTTGCTCAACTCTGCTCTGGTCACACTGGCTTCCCTGTTTTTCAAGTATATCAGATGTGCTCCCACATCAGGGCCTTTACACTCAGCATTTCCTCTATAGTAACCAAAATGACAGCAGTGCTCAGAACAGCAGTGTTGTGTAATAGTTATTAAATTCTGCAGTCAGATGTGAATTCAAATCTAGGTTCTTGTACTTACTCTACTATATGACCTTGGGGAAGTTATTTTATCTGAGGCTCAGTTTCCTAAACCTGTACAAGGAGTTTAAATTAGAGTAACTTTGCTGGTAAGATTGTCATTAGGATTAAATGAGGTGACATGTTTAAAGAATTCAGCAAGTATTTGCATATGCTGCTGCTCCTGCTAAATCGTTTCAGTCGTGTCCGATTCTGTGCAGCCCCATAGACGGCAGCCCACCAGGCTCCCCCATCCCTGGGATTCTCCATGCAAGAGCACTGGAGTGGGGTGCCATCTCTGGTATTTGCATATAGGGCTAGATAAATGCCAAGTGCTACTAAAATTACTTTCAACTTTGGCTCTTCCACATAATTACCTATGGAGATACCTAAAAATACAGATGTCCAGGGCTTGACTCAAGGGACTCTTAAGTTATTAAGTCTAAAGGTGGAGAGAGGGGCCAAGAATCTGTGTCTTGAAAAAGGAAAAAAGAAAAAAAAAAACACTTCCCAGGTGTCTTTTAGGAACAGCTGAGTTGAGAAGGGGATGAAATTAACTCAGAGGGTCCTGCTCCAAGCCCCAGCCCAGTACACGACTAAAGAAGGCTCTCAGTCTTTTGAGTCTGTTCAGCCTCTTAACTTGCAGTGTGATACTCATGTGATACCTTACCTTCCCTGGGAATTTTATTCTAATTTTAACAGCTGTGTCCTGAGCAACCTTGAGCTGTGTCAGACAGTGAGGTCCTGTTGGAGGTACAGATCTGATGCAAGCAATATATAAATCCTGTCTTGAATGTTTCCAGAGGAAGAAAATGGTTTTTTACCACTTAAACATTACTATATGCTACACACTGGTTTTTCTTAGAACATTCATGTATATGGACCATATTACCATAATACTTACATGGGAATTAGGTGTCTTTGGAAATTGGAGGGAAATAGCACTTATAGAATGACTTTCATATCAGGAAAATAATAAAAAATTTCTAAAATTGTGAGAATCAAAATATAAAATGAATATCCAATTTTGTAAAATAACAATATTCTTTAAATAGTTGTCTTGGCCTTTTTTTTGTGTATAAATAGCCATTCCAGCTGAAACCCTCATCTGTCCTCTTTTTATTTTCCCCCTCTCCTGATAGAAACTACGCCCGGTTCCGACAGAAATCTCTGCAAAGATACAGTCTGACCCAGTGGGTTGACCAGAATAAGCGAAGCCACCATCGGTTCCAGCGTCTACCAGATTTCCCATACGGTCCACTTGTCTCCTCCCATCAGCAGTGAAGGGCCCTATCCAGGGTCCTGTCCAGAGCAGCATCTCATCTTCTGCTGTTCCATGCTTTGTAGATTTCAAATTTTATTTTTCACAATATTTTTATTTAAAGAACTTGTCACCTTTTGGAAATGCATATTGCTGACTTGAAATTTTTTGTATAGGGTCCTTCGTTTCTGTGTGTGTGTATGCATTTAAGCAGTGTTGAGTTGACATAGTTTTAATTTTTTAATTTAAATTAAAGGTGGCTGCCTCCTGAAAGCCAGCATTAAGTCAGAACATCCCGGCTCAAGCAAAGAGCCACCTCTCTGCAGAGGTGAAGTCTACTTCTGGTGCCCAAAAGAAATCATTCTTTAATCTCTTGAAGGAAGAGATTCTTTATCAGGCTGCAAACCAGTTTTAATTATTGCTGATGACTTATAAATGGATACAAGTCACTTTTAACAACCCTTCTTACTTTTCTTATGTGAATCTCTGAATACCCGTCAGTATTTTAAAGTTAGTAATTCAGGACATCTGAAGTAGTTGAAAGGACAAATTAAAAGTGTAAATCTTCTCTTCTTTTTGTACCTACTAGCTGCCTTTATTTTTTTGGCTTTTTTTTTTTTCATTCTTCATTAAATTTATTTTGCACAGTAGTGTTTACAAGTCTTACATATCTCAACCCTTAACAGAAGCCTGGTGACTGACAGCCTCTGTTGACTGTGGTCTTGTGGCCGGTTGCCTGCTCTGTCCGTCCGCACGGATCCCCTCCCTCCCTCGTTTCCCCAGTGACCTTAGGGCTCTGCTGGCATGTTCCGTGTCCTTGTGGGCGTAGAGACGCCTCCTCAGGACAGCCTCACTGCACTCTGTACTGAAGATCTGCCCACCCAGAGTCTTGACTCCAGGACAGGCCAGAAGGCAGTGCTGTTGAGAGGTGTGAGTTGGTCTTCAGTCTCGTCTGCTGAACCCAGCTTTGAGTATGAGTTGGCGAGTTAGTTAGTGAGCCTCCATCCTATAGAAGAGACTTTTGAGAAGCTGTCCTTTGTCTCCATTATTAGTTAATAAGAGGTGCCTTTTGATCCAGATGTTACCACCTCCTCACGTGGTCAGAGGATGTACAGTTTTACAAAACTACTAAAGTGGATTTAAAATAGTTTTGATGAAGCCTGTGCACAAAGCATTACCTGATCTTAAGGATTAGTACTCTTAAGCCAAGTTGATGAGCTTTGTGCAACTACCTTAATGGATGTCTTTGGAGTTTGTTATTCCTTTACAGACGGCTCTAGACATCTCTTGGGAGATTTTACAGTCTGGCATTTGTGCTCTTGTTCACTCTCGGTGAAGGTCGTACCTAGTTGCTGTAGCACAGCCTGTGATACTGGGCTCACTGCCTGTCAGGTTTTGTTGTTCCATCAGCCCCATCTTTGTCTGCAAGTAACCTAACATAAACATCCTACTCTGCTTTAGAAACTGACTTGGGAGAAACTTGGTCATTGTTACCAGTAAATTTAGATGGATGTCCCTAAGTGTTTACCATTTCTGTCCAGTCAAGGAGTCTTTTCCTTGGAAATTTGGTTGAGAGTCTGGGGCCAAAATGCAAAGGAGAAGTTCTGTTCAAAGGCAAGAGTCAAAATCTGTTATTTCAGTTGGAATTTACAACGTCAGTCACTTCTCCAAGTTTGCGTAAATCAGCTTGATGGAGTGGGACAGACAAACATCCAACTTTGAAACTATAGCACAATTAGAACTAAGTATTGCTGGAATATCTAGCATTTTAGTTGTCTTGTTCCCCACAGATCACCAAGGAGTAAAGGGATGGCCATTTGCTTGGGCAGAAGTCTGAAGTCTCATGCTCTTACCTCCTTGGTGCAGGAAGGTTTAAGACTGACGTGTCACGGGAGCATCGCCTTTGCCAAATCTAATGAGTGACAGGTTATCTTGAAAATGTGACAATCACATTTCCTCTTTGCTCAAATAATTCTTTTTTTCCAAAGCTTTAGCAGCTTAATTAAATCTGTTGGACTGGGGGAGGAGAGAACTGTTCCCTAGCGGTTAACATGGTATTCTTTAAGAAGAAAAACAAAGCCAAAGAAAACTCATTATCAGGCATGTTCGCCTTAAAGATGGTAGTGGGTAGAATCTGGAGTTTGAATTTGTTTTTAAAAGTGCTTACGTATCTCATATTTGGTGTTGGCCTCTTAAGTCTAATTTTCATGTAGAATTCTTGCCGTATTGTTTTATTTGAGTAAGGGCTCTGTGCATTGAACTGCCTACCGAGCTTTCTTTATCTGTGATGACATTCTCACCACAGGGGTCTTAACACTGCAGAGTAGACTTGTGCTGTTTACATAGTTTACTTGTAACTAAAAGAGCCTGAAATAACCTGTAGTTTTCCATCTAATTTGACCCCAATTTACTTTGGTTGTTGTCAGGATCAATTATGAAACTGAAGTTTGGTGCCTCCTGTGTATCATGTTTTTCCCCTTGTAGCAGTTGTGTTTAATGTCATTAAAAATAAATAAAAGTTCTTGTCAGTGGCTTATGTACTATGGCCTTCTCTTGCGGCCTCTGGAGGAGGGTTCCTTCCTTCTCTACATAGGTAGCTTGGTGGGGTGTGGGAGGGGGCGGCAGTTAGTAGAACGTGGCATTGGGGAGGCGAGGGTGTGTGCTCCCAATTCTTCTGAGGGTAAATTACAGTGTTGAGAAAGGCATTCCAACAGTTAAGAAATGTTGAGATTGATTGGGATCTGCAGCTACATATAGTGCACGTCAGGAGCCTGACAGAGAGCCCAAAATATCCCTGTGCTGTTTTTGCAGAGGTGGGGAGGACTCAGCCCCGTCACACAGGCCTTGCGGCGAATTCCTTCCTGTGGCTGGACAGCTGCCCCCTGTGGCTCTCTGCCCCCAGTGCCAGCATTGACTGAGGAAGAAGCCGAGCTACTGGGGCATTCTTCCTTTGAAAGGGATGTGAAAAACCAGAACTGATGGTTGTTCTTAACCCAGCCTCTCCAGAAATTGCTCCTAGAACCTGGGGTGAAGGTCAGATAAGTGTGGGTAGATGCGGGAGACACAGCGTTTCTTGCTTAGATCCCTTTTGTGAACCTAAGCTTCTTAGACTCACCTCAGGAGCAAGGATGAAAAGGAAGGCAGTAAGAGCTTGTCACCTGCATCTGCCAGTGCTTTGACCGTCTCAGCTTGTGCTGAGGAAATAAGGAGCAATATGTTTGGACAGGGTCTCTGTCCAGCTGTGCTGTAAGTTTTATCTAATATGTATTCTATAGTGCAGGCAAAAGGCTCAATATTAATTTGCTAAATACTCAGCTATTTGATAGTCTTGTCTGAACCCAAGGGTCTCTTGACTCGCGTATATACACATACCCATTTTGTCCTTGCAGGCGTAGGTGTTCCTTTGTCCAGTAACTGCTTATTTCCTTTTAAACAGTGTGTTAATGTCGGCATCAAAGGTTTCAGAGACCAGGCGGGGTTCTCCGGGCTGGTGATGTCCCTTAACCTCAGTTTGTTTTATGTTGTGGAGAAGTGAGGAGGAGGAGAAGTGGACCTGCTCTAAAAGCTCATTTTCTAACCAGCCTCTTGTGAGCTTGTACAGAAAGAAAAAATCCCAACCATCTAAAACTAGAAAGCAGAGCTCCCTGCTTTTCTTAGTTCTGTCCCGCTTTTCTAAGAGAAGGCAATTATTCCTAAGCTGATTCTAGGGTATGCCTGCTTTGTAGGCCAGAGCACCTGTCAGGAAAAAAATGTCCACTTGTCACAGGAAGTATCAGCTGGCTAACAATGGAATTCCTTAACTAAAAGCTCCCGCCTTGTCAATCTTCTCTCCCCCCCGCCCCCCCCCCCCCCCCCCCGTCCTCACCCTGTGACAACTGGAACATGCCACAGACAGAAAATCTGACCCTCCGAGCACCTGTTGGGAAGCAGTGGAATGTCATCGTTTGGACAATCTTTAAAGCCATCTAGTCCTGAAATGCTGAATCATTAAGGAATTATTTGTATACAAAGATCTTCAAATAACGAGGGTTTGGGCAAATTGTACCCATGGAGCTTGGGGGTGAGGGTTGTCCTGTTTACAGAAGCATTTTGTTCTTGGAGGCCACTTTTTAAAAGCAAAATCCAAAATCTGTCAAATAGGTTTAAAGAGGATGAGAAACTAGAGGTCTGAAACATCACATGACTAGAGGGGTGAGATACTACATATTTCTGTAAAGGCCCGAACTAGACATCTCTGAAGTGGATTTGAGAGGAGCTGTTGTTCAGTGGCTAAGTCATGTCCGACTCTTTGCAACCCCACGGACTGCAGCACACCAGGTTCCTCTGTCCTCCACTATCTCCCAGAGTTAGGTCAAATTCATGTCCTTTGAGTTGGTGATGATATCCAACCATCTAATCCTCTGCGGCCCCCTTTTCCTTTTGCCTCAAATCTTTCCCAGCATCAGGGTCTTTGCCAGAGGAGGCCCTCACTGGGGTTGAGGGGACTGGACTGGAGAGAGGAAAGACTCCTGCTCCATGGAAATTCACCAGTCCTCCTTCCTCTCCTCAGACCCTGGGGTCTCCCTGCTGTTCTCAGAGGGAAGCCCTTTGGCTCCTACTCTGGCGAGGGTGGGGTCTGGGAATCCTCTGTTCTTACCCTTTTGACAGAGGAGACCAGGGGCCCCTCAGAGAAGTAACTGGCCTGAAGGTCTCCTGCCTCAGTCCAGGGATCCTCCCACAGGCCTGTTGTGGTCTTGTAGGCGGGGGTCTCAGTCTCAGGCGACTTGCCTGGGCCCTTCCCAAGCTGTGGGGGATTTGTAGATCCAAGTGAGGGCTGAAGAGAGGAAACAGCCCAAGTCACAGCTGTTGGGTTCCACTGTGCAACTCCAGTTAATTGGAGACGAGCTCATTTGTTGGGGAAGTTGGGAGGTTAGGGAGATGATTACAGGGAATGGAGTTTAGTTAGGAGTGTGGTTCGCTCCATTCGCCTCAAGCCCGAAGATAATGTGCTTCAGGCACTGACAAGGTGAAGACCGCAAGTGGCGCTCCCAGGACCCTGTGGACAGCCGTCTATACCAGATGCCAACCTGGAGTTTCTCCATCCTCTGGCGCTGGACAGGCACAGAGGGCCTGGGAAGTACCTCTGAGATCTGGCTTGGAGTTCTGTGTGCTAATCAATTTCCCACTTTCTTACCCAGACTCCAAGACCTGTTTCCCTCTGCTCTCAAAACCTTCCAGAATAGCCTGCTCTAAGCCCCACTCACCTATCTTCTAAGCTCCTCCCCACTCTGGACGGAAATGTTCAAGGTGCCCCATTTACTGGTCTGCTCATTGGCTAATGGCATCATTACTCTACCTTCCAGCCTGCTGCAGGATCTGAATGATGTTCCTTTAACAGCCTGAACAGCATGCTGTGAATTCTGAGCGGCAGCAGCCAGCAGCTCCTGCAGTTCTTCCTGACTTCCCCCTCACGCTGGGAGAACCAGGGCGGTGTGCATTCCTTTGGCCAGGGAAAGCACCAACCCCATCCAGAGGGGAAAACCCTTTGTTTTAAAAACTGAGCTCCAGCCTGCATACCTATGTGATGAGGCAGGCAGCCCAACCTCGATTTGGGGTTGGGGGGAGGAGGGGCTCAGTCATAGGATAGAGCAGCTATTTTCTCCTCCTACACGTGCACCCCCATCTGTTCCGAGATTTCCCTTCCAACTCCAGCTTGGCTGGCAGGCTTGTCCCTAAAGAAGCTGCAGGCCAAAACGGAGAGAGAACTGCCTCCCTCCTCCACACATCCTGACTTGCTGCCAACTGCCAGAAAAAGAGGGCAACATTTGGGCATTTACCAGAAGACGAGGATGTGCCTTTTCATTTGTCTTTTTATTTTACATTTAAAAAGTGGTTATTGCTCTAACTGGATCAGAGGTAAGGACCTCTGCCCTAAGGAGCCTTGGCCTTGCAGCCCCATTCAGCAGGGATGAAGTCACAAGACAATGAGTGGAGCCTCATGCCCTCCCATGAGGAAGCCCTTAGTGTTGCCGACATCTGCGTTTTACCCTGTGTCTCCTCCCTCCGTGCTCCACACTTGGGCAAAGCAGAGTGGCGGCTGCCCCAGCCAGGAGAGCTCTTGTAGACCGGAAGGAAGGGGCGGTCACTGGGTAATGGCTTTCAGCTCTCTGGCTTGGGGGCCATTGCTCTTATCGTTCAGTTCAACAGGTATGCACTGGGCGCCCATGGTGTGCCAGGCTTGTGCCAGGCGCGGTCTCCCATGCGCTCGTCCTCAGTCACCAACGGAAGACGCAGAGGTCCGTCTCTTCCCACGCAGGCACTCTGCAGCCGAAACTTGTCAGTCCCAGGGAAGGCTCTGCCCTCCCTTAGCAAGCACCATTTGTGTTTTAAACCAGAAAGAGGCAGTGGAGGGAGGGACCCGTCACCTCACACCACTCAGGCTCTAGGGAAGGACATGAGGACCCTGGGGAGCTTTCGCAGAACCCTGGATGAGATGGCAAGATATGGAGACCCCAGAGGCCGGGACCGCTGACTGTCCATGGTGAATGGCTTGGGCCTGCCTTCTAGCAGAGTCCAACCCAGAGGGGGTGATGAGCAGCCCCCAGGGTATCCCATGTGGACGTATCTTTTCACTTGTGCAAGCCAGCACTGTTGCAACTCCAAGAGATTTTTCTTTCTAAAGAAATGGAGCCCATACCTTCAAAGGTCTCTTTCCCATTCTGTCTTCTTCAGACCCCAGACTGATGACCTTACAGTCAAAAACAAGGGTCAAAGAAGGTACAGGATACAGGCCACCGGTCAGAGAATCCCTCTGCCCTCTGGAGTGAAGCCCTTCGATTGTGTTTTCCAAAAGAGACAGAACAGAAAACATCTTACACACTCGCAAAGTTGTGCATCGCACCACAAACAAGTCCTTGATGGCTGGATCCAGCGAAGGCTTGATGGCAGCCAGGACTCTGCCCAGCAGGCAGCCCCACAGCTTCCCTGAAAGACACAGCTTCTGTCAGTCCAGATGCGTGTCAGCTCCCAGGAGCTCTGTGCATTTTCTCAGAGAGGAGGCCAGTCCAGGAGAGGCGAGGAGGCAGAAAGAAGGCTGTGTCTCATGCAGCTTTGCCTTTTCCAGAATGGGGCCAGGCCTTTTAGTTTGGTGGCTTGTTTTATTTTTTTGCAGAATTGGGGTTTGTAGTTTAGCCTTCGTCACCAGACCAGGATGGGAATGCAGAGGGAGACTGTGCAGCTAGCGGGGCCTCCCCCTCTCCGACCTCGGCAGTCCCCTCTCTCCCTGAGCCCACGGACCCGGGGACCGGCAGAGAAGAAAAACAAAATCCTTCTTCCTGCAGACAGGCAGTCACGCTTCGATGATGTTCACCGAGGGCTTGTTTGAAAACTGGGAGGGAAAAAATGAGAGAAGCGGCCAGGGCTGAATTGAGTTCTTGCAAGGTTTGGAAACAGGGAGAAGACACCAGAAGGAAGGGAGCAGCAGGGCTGCAGCCTAAAAGCCAGGCTCTCGTCTCAGGTGGAAGGCAAGCAGGAGTCCCGCCTGGATGCCTGGTCTCTCTGCCTTCTCACGCCCAGCCTCCGGCCTCGCTCAGCTGAATGGCCAGGACAGGGTCCTGGGCCCCAGCAGAGCCGCCCCGCCGGCCGGTCCTCTCACCTCCTGCAGATCTGCCTCTTGAGCACAGCCTCAGCCACTGACATTGCTGGGGTGCTTCTGGAGATGGGGGTTAATAAGAGGCTTCAGGAAAGCGCCAGATAGAAGCCGAGAGAGAGGACAGGAAGCCAGAGGGTGTAAAGAGACGGAGAGGGGAGGAAATGTGGAGAGGGCCAGATGTTTGTTGGACAACCATCGTCAGAACCATGAGATTCTCTCCCATTCTCTACGTCTTCCTTCTGAGGGCCCAGAGCAAGCACTGACAGGGTTTTCATATCTGTTTCACAGGAGAGGAAACGAAGGTACAAAGAGGTGAAGCACCTGCCAGGGTCACACAGCAGAGCAGGAGCAGAAGGAGCCCAGAACCCCGACTCTCGTCATCCCGCATCAACCAGGAACTCTGCCCCCCCATTTGATGCCCTCTGGTTAAACCCCTCCTGGCCCCTGGCACCCTGCAAAAGGAGAGGATCCAAAATCAATCTGCAGCATGCCCGGTGTCACACGGGCAGCAGCCAAGCTTGGCTCGGTCCCGCGGCAGCCACGCCAGGCCCCGAGCTGACCCCTCGGTAGCCCAGGGACTACCAGGGAGCCAGCCCCAGGGCTCAGATCTCACCCTCACCTTGCTACGGAGAAGCCCCCCGCCTTGGTGCTCTGGTGTGCTGGTTTCTGACGCACTCTTGGTTTTTTCCTTGTTGTTGTTAGGTTCGTTGTCCTTGATGATGTCATACTGGCGGCAGAAGAGGGCGATGACGCCTGCAGGGGACAAGGGGGAGGAGTCAGAGGCCAGAGCCCCAGTCCCCGCCCCTCCGCTTCTTTCCGGTTAGACCCGACTGAGCTCCTGCGGGTCTAGGTTCCAGGTGGCCCCTCAGCCGCTCTGATGCAGGAGGCTGCCTCTGGTTCCCATGTCCACCTGTCCCTAGCCCTGAAACCCCCGCACCTCACCGGCCTTCCCACAACACCCTTCTGACCCTGTCTCCTCCTCCCCCTTTTCTAAACCTCAGAGGGCTCCCCTTTCCTTTAGAGCAAAGAGCAACGACAGCATCCATCAAGCACGTGCCAGGGCCTGACAGTCCACCTCACTGAGCCCTCACAGCTCTCGGGGGGCACCAGTTATTACCCTCCCCAGGTTACCAAGGAGGACCCGAGGCAGAGCTCAGATAACCCACTCACCATCACAGGGTGCAGCTGGGGTGTGCACTCCAGGGCCTGCACTCTCCTCAATGTTTAATGCTGTCAAACTAATATTTTTTGATTTTTTGAAAGGCCATTAAGTGTAATATTAAGGCAACCACCTCCAACTCTCATAGGGGCCTTCCCCATTTTCACCTCTATACTTGATTTACAGTGCTTTTTGTTTTTCTCTTGTGGCCACACTGCATGGCTTGCGGGATCTTAGTTCCCCGACCAGGGACTGAACCCAGGTCACAGCAGTGAAAGCCCAGAATCCTAACCACTAGGCCACCAGGGAACGCCTAGAGTGCTACTTCTTGATCTGTTTTAGAGGTTATCTGTTGACGTCCCCTCCATGGGAGACAGAGCCCAACAACCCCCTCTACTTCCTTCCCCATCATTCTAGTAGAATTACACCACAATTTGGGGTTAATTCACTATTTTATATTGTTACGATTATATGAATACTATCTGTGCCAAGTCTAATAACATGCCACATAAGCAAACCTCCCCTTTTGTACAGTCCTTTTTTCCTTTCTCTTTCAAGTGTCTGCTTTTCTTTGCATCTATAGAACATATTTCCCCATATGCCTCAACAACCATGGATGCCCTCTCAACCATGGATGTTAATATAACTTTGAAATGGTGTTTAACTCCTTCAAAAGGACTTCAGTCCACTTGACAGCCTCACCATCCTTCCCTCCTCACTCTCTACCTTCTCTCTAGGGTCACAGCTGCGCTGAGCCAGACTGAGCTTAATTCGTTTCTTGCACACACCATGCCCAGAATACCTTTCCTTATTTGGCTGCTTGGTGAACTCCTACTCATCCTTCAAAACACAATCCCCATTTACCTCCTCTCTGGGTTTTTCTAGATTTCTACTCCAAGCCCCAGAATGAAGTCCCTGTCCTCTGCTCCCATGCATGGTACTCTGATGGCACTCATCACGTCGAATTATAGTTAAATACGGGCCCGGCGTCTCCCAGGCTGAGATCCTTACAAGCACCTGGCTCTTCATAGTCCCAACTGTAGCACTTCTCTCTGGAATGGAGTGGCTGTTCAGTAAATTCTGGTTGGGTTGAGTACACAGACCGTGGTCTCTATCCTCAGGGAGCTCACAGACAAGTGGGAAAAGAGAGAGAGAGGAGCCCAACTAACTTAGCTAGGAAGAGCTACATTCAGAAAGGAGCACAGTGCGGCGTGGGAGCACGGAGGCAGGAGAAATAGTCTAATGCACGGATTGGGAGGCTTCATGCAGGCGGTCTCGGAGCCGCGTCTAGACAAATGAGTGGGATAAGAGGGTGGCCCAAGCCTGAGCTGCTCGGACCTGAAGCTGCTCAGACCGAGAGGCACAGCCACCCAGAAGAGGACCGAGAGGCTGCATGTGAGGGCGGGGGAGGGCAAGCACTCACAGAATCCTACTGGGTTGGCCAAAAGGTTCATTTGGGTTTCCATATGACGTCATGGAAAAAACCCAAATGAACCTTTTGGCCAACCCCACCCAGGTAGCTACTGAATTGCTATTTTTTTGAGGTGAGGGGTGAGAGAAGGGGTCAGATCTGGCCCTCCAGAGCAGAACTTAGGTTCTTAAATCCTCCTCTCTCACTGTCTCCAAGCCCCTTGCCCTTCATTTCCATGAGAAAAGGGTCTGGTCAGGGTCCCCCATTTCCGCCCACCCCCCGCCCCCAGCCCAGGTGAAGTGAAGGGGAGCTCGGGGCCGGACTCACCGGCCCACATGAACAGGACCACGACGATGATCAGCACCTCGCCCGTCCGCAGCTGTTGGTTCCTCCCCATCTCCTTCATGGTCACCTCATCTGTGCGGAGAGAGACACTAGGTCTGGGGCTCCCTGCCCCTCCAATGGCCACCCGTCAGGGGCCAAGCCCCAATGTTAACTGCTTATTTCTCAGTTCAATTCAGTTGCTTAGTTGTGTCTGACTGTTTGCAACCCCATGAATCACAGCATGCCAGGCCTCCCTGTCCATCACCAACTCCTGGAGTCCACCCAAACCCATGTCCATTGAGGTAGTGATGCCATCCAACCATCTCATCCTCTGTCATCCCCTTCTCTTCCTGCCCTCAATCTTTCCCAGCATCAGGGCTTATTTCTACCTGTGCTCAAAAAGAGATTCGAGAACATACTGATGACTACTTAGGTGGCAGTGACTGGACTTAAAGCTGTGAGTTTGAGTCCCATTGTTTGGGGGACCAGAGTGGACCTCCCTCTCTCAGGGGCTGCCTGACTAGGTGGCAGGGCCCCCAGAGAGGGAGGGGGGGCGGGTTTCGTGCTTTCTGTCAGCCATGCACTGCTCCAGCCTGTACCACCCCTCCCTATGCCCCATCCCTTGCTGACGGTGGCCCAGGCCTGCCTTTGTTCTTGGAGGCCATCTTCTCAGCCTCGCGCGGCGTCTTGAAGAGCACGGGCTCGCTGGCTGGACTCTGACCCTGGATGGATATGGCCTGCACGTGCACAATGTACTCCGTGTCCTCCTCCAGGTCCCAGAGCGCGCACGAGCGGGTGGTGGTGTTCACCTCCTGGATGAAGCGCAGCATCCGCACATCCTTCTTCTGCAGAGAGCAAAGCCAGGCCCTGGGTTTCAGTGCCAGGGCCCCCACGCCACATCTGCCCACCTCTCCAGCAGTGATGAGGCCTCACCCTGGCTACAGTGCTAAACCCCCCACAGCCACAATCTGACTCAAGCATCCTATCACTTCTGGAGGTAGGTATCCACCTCTCCATTTTGCAGGCCAGGAGATAGGCTCAGAGAGGTTTCAGAAGCTGTCCAAGGACATACATCTTGAGAGAACTGGTGGTGGTGGTTATTTTGTTTAATCACTAAATCATGTCTGACTCTTTGCGACCTCATGGACTGTGGCCCACCAGGTTCCTCTGTCCATGGGATTTTCCAGACAAGAATACTGGAGTGGGTTGCCATTTCCTTCTCCAGGGGTTCTTCCCAACCCAGGGGTTGAACCCGGGTCTCCTGCACTGGCAGGCAGATTCTTTACCACTTAGCCACGAGGGAAACCCAAGAGAACTGGTGTGTTAGTTGCTCAGTCGTGTCCGACTCTTTGTGACCCCATGGACTGGAGCCAGGTCCTAAACTCATGTCTGTTTATGATCAAAATCCTGCCCTTAATTCCCAGGTTCCAACCATAGGTTTCCCTCCTGGGGCCTCCTTTCCCAGCCGCCTGTGCAGCTTTCTGTCCATCTCTCTTGCTCCTCATTCCTCTGTCTTCCTGCTTCCCTCCTCTCCCACCCATCACTTGTACCTGGATGTGTTCTTCCCTCCCAGGGACCCTTGAGGGTTACCTGCTGAGAGATGGCAAATCCAATGACAACCTCGTCCTCCAAGACGTCCCAGCTTACCACCGCAGAGTTGGCCTTGAGGTGCCTGACGGTGACGTTCACTGGGGCCGAGGGGCTGTCTGGGGGTGGGGAGGCACCTGAGTCTGAGCACCCCTGCTGTGAGGCGCAGATCCACCGTCTCATAAGTAAGAAAGGGGAACCTGAGGTGGCTATGTGGTGACAAGGAAGAAATCCAGGCCTCCGGTGGGACTAGCCCCCGGGGGTGGTCTCAGTTTCTTAGGGGTTGAAGAGCAAGGCCTGGGGAGCCCCAGGCTCCTTGGATCCAGGGCAGGGGCCCATGCTGGCCACAACTGGCCCCACTAGAGTCCAGCTAAAATTGATGAGCCTGGGCCAGGGCCAGGGCTCATGGAGGGGCAGCGGGAGGTGGGGGGCGGGCGTAGGGGACAGGCATGGAGGAGACATAGGTGGCCGGGGTTGCAGGAGCTGAAGGTGAGTCTGGTGAAAGCGGTCAGAAGGCCTCCCAGTCCAGGGCTCTTGCTACAAAATGGCACTGTCAAGTGAGTGACCTTGAGGGAAGGAGAAAGACCCAGAGGTCGAGAAGAGTCTAGCTGGGCGAGCCCTGGGATGGGACTGAGGCTCCAGAGAGGAAGCCCCAGGATTGTGGAGGGCCAGGCAGGAGAAGCCCTGGGAAGGGCCTTCTCCAGACCCTGCCAACCCCAGGAGGCAGGTGGGGAGGCAGCAGAGGAAGACGGGGTCACTGAGAGCAGGGCCCCTCCAGCAGAGTCAAAGGAACAGGGGAGGGCCTTCTGGAAGCTGGGACAGAACAAAGGGGACCAGAGAAAACCAGAGTCGGGGGAGGGTAGGGGTCAAGGAAGTAAGAACCTTCCAAGAGAGGGGTGCCAGAGTCACTGAAGCTTCTGTATCCCCCAGGGGCAGGCGCTGAAAGGGGAAGAAGATTAAGCCTGAGCCGTCCCCCTCGCCCCATGGGCCTGGGGCCTGGGGACCCAAAGCCAGACATGGAGTCCAAGAGAGACAGAGGGACACAGACGGGGCAGCAGACAGTGCACCGGAGAAGAGACAAGGGGGGACACGAGACAGACACAGGACGGAAGCAGGGAGACAGCACTAGGCCAGGGCCAGGGGCAGGAAGGGAGACTAGCAAAGCGGCAGCAGCCAGACGGGACTTGCCCAGGGCATCAGGAGAGGCAGGGTGCCCAGGAGGCCAGGCCCCAGGGGGCAGTCGCCTCCGGGCTCGGGGTCCACCCCCCCTTTCCCAGTGCCCCCGGGTGCCAATCCTCGCCCCCTCTCCCCCGCAGGACCCAGGCTGCTCCGACCTGCAGAGTTAGCCTGCAAGGCTCTGGGGACAGGGAGAGAGGCCTTAGGTTCGGGGACAGTGTCCTCAGCTGCTCCCTGGGCCAGAGAAAGGAGCCGGGGCTTCTGAAGGAAAGGCCTGGGGTCAGGGCAACGGAGGAGGGGACTGGGGATCCCAAGACCCTAGATCCCAGGGCCAGAGGTGGCGGGAAGTGGTTTGAGAGCTGGAGGTCGGGGCGGGGGGGTGGGGTGGGGGGTCAAGTAGGCAGGAAAGGGGCTGGAGGTGGGGCGAAGGGGGAGCAGTGAGCGGGCCAGAGACGGGGTCCTCAGGGAGCAGGCAAGGGACCGGAGGACGCCCACCCGCGCCCCCGCCCGGGGCCCCCTTACCCGCCTGCACCAGCGCGAGGCAGACGCAGCCCAGCCACAGGCGGAGCGCGGCGCGGGGCGGCCCACGGTGCATGGCGGCGGCGGCGGCTCCGGCCGGCCGGCCCGGGGCGGCGCAGGGGGACGCGGCTTCGGCGCCCGGCGGCCGCCCGCGCTGGCGCTCCGGCCCGCGGCCCGTCCGGCCCGGCCGCCCCGCGCCGCCCCGCGCCGCCTGCATGTCGGCTCCGCGGACAGCGACTCCCGCACGGCGGCGGCTGCGACCGCGTCCACGTCGGGCGCCCGGGGGGGCGGGGCGCCCCCGCTGCGGGGAGAGGCGCGGGGGCGGGGTGAGGGCCAGAGGGCGCCCCCAGCCGCCCCCACCCCGAGGGCCCGCGACCCGGCCCTCGGGGCTGCGCCCGCTGGCGCTCCCACCCTCTCGCCTGTGCCCGAACCCGAGCCGGGCTCTCGGCTCCCCGCCGTGCTGAGTGAGCCCCGGCCTCGCAGCGCCTGTGCCCGCCGCGCAGCCCTGACCCGGCCGCCACCGCTGCCCTTTCCCGGGGTGAGAGGGAGGGCGAATGCCACGGAGACTCTCCTCTGTGCCCCCTCGCCTGGGGGTCCCCAGCCTCACCCCGCCCCTGCCCCAGGCCCAAGGCTTTGCTGACCGGGGCAGGAGGGAGCCGCGGGGAGCAGTCCCAGTAGGGATGGGGGTGAGTCTATAGAGCGCTCAGTATGTGCTAGGATGCTCGGTGTTTACCCTGGGGCCGAGGAGAGAGAGGGTGAGGGCCTGGCCCTGAGACCCCAGGCCAGTCCCTCCCCTTCTTGGACCTCCGCTTTTCTCTCCACAGTGAGCATCTCCGAGGTGCCAGATGCACGCGGGGGCCTTTATTCGCTTCACCTCACTGCCACCCTGTCAGGGCCCGCTCTGCTGTCCACATTTTGCACCGAAGAAACCGGCAGCTTGGATTCGCCCAAGGACCCACAGCAGAGCCAGGATGGGAACACAGGCCCATCTGACTCCCCATCCTGTGCCTAACTGGGCTGTCTCCCTGCTTGGGATCCCTGAGAGCCTAGAGCCAGCTTCTCCCCAGCAAGAGAACAATCTGGAACAATCGCTTCTCAAGAGCAGGCATGAGTGAGTTGTTTCAGCGATCCCCCTACCCCCGCCCTTCAGGCCGCGGCTGAATGCAGTGAATGAGCTAATGACTCTATAAAATGCAGCCACAGTTCAGAAAGGGCTTGAGTACCTCTCCGTCATCACCCTGGGGACATCCATTTGCCTACCACTGTCCCTGCCTCGGCCCACACATCCTTCGGTCTCATCCACTCTTCTGATCTTGGAGTGGCAGAGACACACCCTCACGCTGCACCGACCACCCTCTCCCTAATGATGAGAGCATCTCTGGAGCACCAGACTCCTGGGGAAGCCCACCACCCCCCACCCTGTGTCTCTCTACACCCTGAGTCCCACTCAGAGAAAGAAGGTTGAGAAGCCAAGAACAGACCAGGGCCTTAGGGCCCCCGACAGGGAGGGACCCCCCTTCTCTCTCAATGAGCCCCCTCCCCCATTGTTTGAAATCCCACCATGAGTGGGCATCCCGTTGGGTCTTAAAAACCTTCTGGTCTTCAGAAGCCCCTGGAAGACCTAATTCTTTTTGAAAAGGGGACACCTTACAAAGTTATCCCACAACACATTCAAGATGCCCCCTGCCTCTGTCTCCATTTTAGATTAAGAACCTGAGGTTCAGAGACGAGAAGAGCTTGGCGCAGATTCACAGGCAAGTCCAGAGCGGCAATAGAGCCCTCATCTCCCAATGCCCACCCCACAACTACCAGTACTGCCCCCAAGTCTGTTTGGTCACCTTGGAAGGGGTGAGATGGGAGGGGGCTCGGGGGTTCTGGCTGAGCACTAGCCCCTCAGTACCCCCGCCCCTCTGTTTCCTCAGCACATACCTTATCCTGGGGTGAGCCTCAGCTGGGACCTCCACCTGTTTGGGATAGGAGCCAGGGAACCAGAGCGCCTCGCCCTTCCAGTCCTTTCCCTCTTCTCTCTCTCTCTCTTTTCCTCTCCTTCCTTCTTTCTCTCCCCGGCAGCTGCCTTCAGCCCAACCCCGCCCAGCCCCGCCCCACCAGCTGCAGCTTGGCCTCTTAGGGACCCTCCTCACCAGGCAGGAAAAGACAACCCGGAGCCTGCAGGAGCAACTGGAGTCTCCTCAGGCCTCATCGCAGGAGCCAGCAGGAAGGGGAGGGGTCAGTTAGAGGTCACCGAGTCCACGCCTGTCCCTGCTGGGGACAAGAGGAGGGAGGGACAGGGTCCCGGTGGGGTCTGGAGTCCAGTCCAGCGAAGGGGAAAGGGGAGTCTCAGCGCCACCTGCTGGCCGCGTCGGGTATAACCCCCAGGTAGATGTAGGGCCTTGGGAGGCGGGGAGGTGGCTGTGTTTGAGGATTTGAGACGATGGGCAAGCGTGGCTGGAGGATGGACCGGGCATGAAAGACAGGATTTGAAGAATTGTGGCTGTGGGCGTGCTGCCTTCCCGGGTTCCATGATGCGTGGGGTGCTTGGGCATTACTTCAGTTCTGGGGAAAGTCCTGATGCCTGGAGCGTGGCAACGAGTGTAAGCTAGGTCTGGGGTGGGAAGAGCTGGGAGGATTTAGAGGCCCCCTGGGGGATCTCGGGAGAGAGCTGTCAGGACCAGTTCCTTTATGTGCACCATCCGTACACTATCTCTTAGCACAGGCTAAGAGCAGTAGACAATCAATAAGGGTGTGTTGCATGTAAAAACTTGTTTTTCTAACATTTATTTATTGAGACTTATGTCCCAGGCTCTGTGCAACATTCTGGAAATACAGCAATGGAAGAATGAATGAATGCATGAATGGGGATGTGGATGGGAGGGGGAGAGGGGTGTACCTCTCTCCCCCAAAACTGCACAGAGCTCCATTTGGAGGACTCCACAGACACCTCCTGGGGAGCTGACTGGTCACTTACACATTGGCACACCTGCTGAGGTCACAAGCACTTGGGGATCTTCCTGAGTGTCCAGAGTTCTTCAGTGTCCCAGCGCCTAACCCAGGTTGCAGGTAAGCATTTAGGATGGGAAGTCTCCTCTTTGCCACCAAGAATGATCATGGCCCTCTCTAGGGTGCCTCGTGGATACACACACTTCAAATCACAGGAAGAATTAGAAGGACAGGAGATTGCTTTGAGGGTAATCAAGCACCTACCCAGAACTTGGCTTTTTGTCCGTGTTCTTTATTTATTTAGGTTCCTAAGTTTTATTCAAGAACCCATACAAAATATTCCAGATAACTGAGTTTGGAGATAGATACAATTAAAATTGTATCTATTTATTTATGGCTGTGCTGGGTCTTTGTTGCTGCGCAGGCTTTTCTCTAGTTGTGGCTAGTGGGGACTACTCTCCAGTTGCCGCATGGACTTGTCATTGAGGTGCCTTCTTTTGTTGCATGGGCTGCTTTTGGAGCATGGGCTCTAGGTGCATGGGCTTCAGTAGTTGCTCCGAGGCATGTGAGACCTTCTGGGACCAGGGGTTGAACTCATATCCCCTGCATCGGAAGGCGGATTTTTTACCACTGAGCCACCAAGAAAGCCCCTCCCCCCAAAATAACTGAGTTTTCATCCTCCTCTTCCTCCTCTTCTTCATCTTGATTAATCTGGAAGTAGTGCAATTTGTAACTTTCTTTGCTGTTAGCAACTCCACGCAACCAATCACATCGATTATTCTTCTTCAAATATTTTTTGGTGAGATATTTCAAATGCCTTTTGAAAAAAGGCACCACAGAGGTTGCAGTAATGTCACTTTTGCTTCTTTCGATTGTCACAGCCCCTCCCCCAAGACTCACTTGGTCTCTTGAAGAAACTGTTCAAAACTGGCAGCATCCATGAGTCCGTCTTCTCAGGATGGGTACAGTTAAGAGGAAACTTCAGGACCTGCTTCTTTGTTTTTTGCCCACCTCCACCACAAGCTTTTTCATGGGCACCATGGTGGCCGCAGAGGCAGAAAGGCTGTCGGTGTTATTTTGAGTCTTAGACTGATAAGTGTTATTAGCTGCTGTTCCAAATCAGGAAACTGAGGCTCAGAGAGGTGTGAGGACTCATTCTGGGTTGCACAGCTAGTGAATTATGAAGCCATGGCTCAAATTCAGTGAAGCGGCTTCCAGTTCAGGGCTTGATCTGGTCTGCCTATATCCTTCCTTCAGCTCTGGGGGCTCCTCAAGGGTCCTGGGCCGAGGTCCCACCAGCGAATATACATTTTCATTCCCTAGAGGGCTTGAGGAGGCCGGTTGCTCACAGAGGCAGTTGCTAAGCCCAGGCCCAAGACCATACCGGGAAAGGGACCCACCACTGACCCAATAGTTTCCATGTGCCAGCGCATTACATACACTCTAGAAGCTTCTCCTGAGTTCTCTCCACCCTGAGATGCTGGGAATGTTATACTCATTTACGGGTGTAGAAACTGAGTCTTAAAGAGAGGAGGTAGCTTGCTATGGGTCATACAGCTGGGAGACAATGGTCTGGCCCGTTTAATCACCCAAAGTCCCCATCGCAGCAATGATGGCCAACCCAGCTTAATGTTTCTTGAATGTCTGCACCAGGCCAGCCTGGGGCTGGGTGCCAAAGACATCATGATGAACCAGATTGGTCCAAGTTCTTGAGGAACTCCTTAAAGAGAGAGACACTCTTAAAAGACAAAGAGAGGACTCCCTTCTGGACCAAGAGGGACCATAAATCTATAGGAGCCAGGAGAGAGTATTAACTTAAAGGGATGGGATTCTCTGGTGGTCCAGTGGTTAGGATTCAGTGCTTCCATCACAGGAGGTATGGGTTCGATCCTCGGTTGGGAAACTAAGATCCCACAAGCCTCATAGCACAGCCAAAAACAAACAAAACTTAAAAGGAAAGCACGGAGGGCATCTTAATTAGTACTGACAGTCAGGTGGGAATTAGTCAAATGAGGGGAAAGAGGCAGAGGGGAAAAAGGAAACATTGGCCCTGAAGCCTGGGAGACATAGAGTCTATGTGGAGGGGAAACACGGGAGGCAGAGTAGGCTGGCAGGGAGGGGTTGCTCTCAGCTCTGAGC